CGCGCATCGCGCATGTAGGTTTCGCTGACCCTCCTCTGACCCGGGTCCTCTAGTGACGCGTCTGCATTTCACGCTGAGGCTGTCTAGCTTACGTCCACGACTCTCGCGCGGACAAGCTCACCTCCCGCACTGTCCCTTGTATCTTCCTTGGTTTCCCCCTTGACGCTTATGACCGGCACTTTTACCACCCTCCATCTCACCGTTTCCTCCAGTCGCGTGACGTCACATTTGAGGAGTCTGTTTCATTCTACACCCGTTTCTCCTACCAAGGTCTCCACGTTACCCCACCTCTGTTCCTTGTCACCACTCCCCCGGTAGCTTCCACTCCCCTCCCTTTGCTTTTGCCTCGTCTGATGTGTTTGACGTCACTCCCTTTCCCTCGGTTGGTCCGGCGGACGAATTTGCTGACTATGGAGGTTCTAGGGCAGTGGGTGCACCGTTTGCTTCTGCGGTGCCTGCACCCCCGGCCTCGGTGCCACCCGCCGCCACAGCAGCAGCAGCAGCAGCAAGGGCTGGTGGGCTCTAGGGGTGTTGGCGCTGGGGGCGCTGGTGCTTAGGGGGCTTCTAGTTCTGGGGGTGCTGGTCTTGGGGGTTCTGGTCCTGACGGTGCTGTCTTGGTGAGTACCGGCGGTAGCCGCGGTGGGGCTGGAGGTCTTGGTGTGGGCACGGAGCTACAGCATCAGCAGCAGCCAGTGTCTGCCCTTTGCCTCCTCGGTCTTCCCTCCTCCTCCTCTGACCGACAGCGCGCGTCTCCCCCAGCGCAGCCTCCTCCTCCTATCAACAGCCCCGTGTTCCCTCCGCCCGACTCATCTCGGGCTCACTTCCCCCCTCGTTCTCCTCCATTGTCTCCTCCTTTGTCTCCTGACCCGACGCCTCCCTCCCACTTCTAGTCTCACCGTCCCTCTCGTACACGCCCCGCCTCTCTCGATCCGAGTGTCCACCCTATGTTTCTCTGTTCTCATGTGTCTCATGTTCCTCCTATTCTCTCGTCGCCTCCTTAGTCATCCCTTGCTATCTCCTCTCCTCCTCTCTCTCACCTTCTCTGTGCTGCTAGCGCTCTTCTCCCTCATGTCCTAGCCTCTCTCGTTACCCACCCTTCTGTTCATGTCTTCAATATCTCGGGTCTTGTTGCTGCCGTTACTGACTTTTCCTCTACCTGTCGCCAATACGCCACTGCTCTGGTCTTCGACCCTGCCCGTCCTTTGTCCGCCGGGGGTGCACCTGCCCTTGGCAGTGACGTCCTAGAGGATACGCAGTACAAACTAGCTTTCCTTGCGGAGGCTGCTCCTCATCTCTGCTCCATTCTGCTGGGTTTTGAGGGTGATCCAGACGCCCTTGACATCCCGACCTCTCGCACCTACACTAAGGCGACTAAGGGACCCTGGGTCTCTCAGAAAATAGCTTCCCTGGACGCAGAGATGGCATCTTGGAGATCCACCGGCAAGTACGTCGACGCATTTTCCTTACCTGAGGGGAACGTAGTCGATGACCTGTAGCTCTTCAAGGTGAAGCATCTGCCTGGGAAGCCGCCGGTGTTGAAGGCGCGACACATTGCTAGAGGCTTCAGTAAGTGCAAGGTGATGGACTTCTTCCAAACCTTCGTCCCTACCCCAAAGATGACCACTCTTCGGGCACTGCTTCACGTAGCAGCACATCGCGGCTACGAGCTCCACTCACTTGACTTCTCCACGGCGTTCCTCCAGGGTTGCCTACACAGGCAGATCTAACTGCGCCGTACGCCTGGCTTCACTGGCTCTTTCCCTCCTGGGACCCAGTGGCTCCTCCGGCGTCCGATTTACGGCATGCGGCAGGCGCCTCATGAGTGGCAGGACGCGCTGCATTCTACGTTAGCTGACCTGCAGTTTTTCCTGTCATCTGTAGACTCTTCGCTCTTTGTTCGTTCAGGCCGGTCCCCGTTCTACATCCTTGTCTACGTAGACGACCTGGTCTTTGCTACTGCAGACAGAGACGCACTGGCCTCAGTGAAGGCCAAGCTACTGAGGAGACACACCTGCATTGACCTAAGAGAGTTGCGCCGTTATCTCGGACTGCAGATTTCCTGGTACAGAGCAGTGTGCATCATCACTCTCTCATAGTCACACTTGGTGCGTCAGGTCCTTCAGAAGTTTGGCCTTCAGTTCTCCTCTGCACAACCCACCCCTTTGCCTGTGGATCACAAGCTCTCGGCTCCAGTCCTTGACGAGCCAGTCGAGCCTAGTGGTTAGTACGCACAGCTTCTGGGCTGCCTCATATACAGTGACGGAATTAATTGGGTTTGAAAAGTCACACAAGTCTAAAGATTGTGTATTTTAATTACGTTTAGTGTGCATTCATCCCCAAGTACCCATTGTATCATATGACTAAGGAGTGAAGCATCCTTATGCTGTAGGGTATTGAATGCTTTATCAAACTGCTTATAGTGAGTCCACCACTTTGCTAGCGACACTCGATGCGGACAATTAGCTCTCGATTCGTGTCTAGATCTATTTTCTCTCGGCATTTCGCGATCTCGCAAACCTAGCCGCCTAGTCTTTACCGACGGCATAGCGTGAACCCCGCCAGGCTCCTAGCAACGATGCGGCCTCTTTCTTCACGCCAGAAAGATAGGATCGCGACCTTGCTTCGACACGGTCATAGTTTCCATCAGATCGCTAGAATGCTAGGGATAGGGAGGAGCACAGTTCAGAAATACGCTCAAGAGGCCTCTTTGCGCACCAGCAGCCTAGCGGTTAGGCCGACAGTCCGAGGTCTGGCCGACCGCGCCTGCTCTCAGTACGTGATAGGCGCATCCTCGTTCGAGCTGTGACTTCTGGCGAGGTGAAGACTGGCGTGGAAGCCGCTAAGCTACTGGAAACAGACCATGGCATTAAGATCTGCCCCAGAGCAGTCCGTAACGCCCTCAAACTGTCCGGCCTAGTCGCCGTCCAACAATCGAAGAAGCCACGTCTCTCCACGCGTAACATCAGAGACAGACTAGATTTCGCCAAGGCCCACCTTGACTGGACCTTGGACAACTGGAAAACGGGTGGTATGGTCTGATGAGACGGCCGTTGATGGGTGACGGCCAGACCACCCGTTTCTGTAGTGACGGCCGGACGTATGCATGGATTCGCGACGGGGCGGCTCTTCAAGGGCATCACATCAAGCAAACTGTTAAGCATGGGGTGGGTCAGTCATGATATGGGGGTGTATGACGTACGATGGCCCTCGATACATGTGTAAAATCGAACGGCCGTATGGACGGGCAGTTGTATCGAAGCATCTTGCTGGATGAGCTTGCCCAAACCATTGAGTTCTATGACCTTATCACCTCTGATGTCATTTTCCAGCATGACAACAACCCCAAGCACAAGTCCCGCCTTGTGCAGGAGTGGTTGTCAGAGCAGGAATATTCAGTCCTGCTGTGGCCCTCTTCATCCCATGATCTCAACCCCATCGAGCACTTGTGGGCCCATCTCAAACGCGAGCTGTCCAAGTATGAGCTCCCCCCCCTCAGGGATGCTCCAGACTTGGGAGCGGATCCAAGAGACCTGGGAGGGATAGATGCTGATGTGTGCAGGGGGCTCATTGATAGTATGCATAGGAGGGTGAAGGCGGTGGTTAGGGCTAAGGGAAAATGGACTAGGTACTGATTTCAAGGTGTCTCTTGCATACTTTGAACATGGCACAAACTGTCTGAGTGTACTTGTGTGTATGGATTTTGCCCAGGCACACTATATTGAATGATCAGGGCTGATTATCAAGAGACATTCTTGTATAGGCATACGTCTAGCTCTGCATTCAAACCTGGCATTGAATAAGCTGCATCTCTAAACACTACACACGATTATTCGCCTAGAGAGGCTGAGATGTGGACAATTTCTTCCGTCACTGTACCTGATGACTTGCACTCGCCCAGATCTCGCATACCCTCTTAGTATCCTCCCTTGCTTTGTTGCAACAGGCAGACACTGACCCCGGCACTGGTCTGCTGCTAAGAGGGTGAATGCGATATCTAGCAAGTACATTTAGATATGGGGCTAGTGCTAGGAGGACGCATGCTAGTGGTTCTCATAGGGAATACAAATTGCTTCGTGGAGTGGACGAAACTGAGACTCACAGGTCCTCTCAGGGCTAACTGCTTTAGCCTTGGTGCAGGCGCTATCTTGTGGAGGTCCACCCCGCTCGTCGTCTATTGCCCAGCCCAGCTGTGAGGCTGAGATCTATGCTAGTGCCATGGCGGCACAGGAGCTCCGCTTGCTGATGTTCTTGCTCGACTGACTTAGGTGAGCAGCCTCGATTTGCCCTGGTCCTGTACGCTGACAACAGGGCCATGATCGTCCTGTGTCAGGAGGCTTGACTAGAATGCAGGGCGAAGCACATCCAACTGCGGTACTTCCTCCTGCGCGAACTATAGCAGAGCGGCCAGGCACGGATAGTACACTTGGCCTCCGGTGCCAAGACAGCTGATATTTTTTACTAAGGTGCTTGCGCCTAAAGAACATCAGCAAAATTGCTTACAACTTGGTCTGGTTCCAGTAGCTTCTCACTTGCTAGGACACTGACTTGTGTACTCATTATATTACCTTGCCTACCTACACTGCTAACTGGCCTTCTGCGTCTTGTCTCAGAGGCTGGACTAGTAGTGCTGTCCTGAGTTACTCTTGTTGAGTTACAGCACAGAAGTTGTCTTCGGACCCCTGCCTCAGAGGTTGGACTAGTAGTGCCTCCCTTAGCTGCATGTCTCTTGCTAGGCACTGCCCTTTATCTAGCCTAGGGGTCGTGACAGCATATACATATGTGTTATATGTAGCAGTTATAGGCTAGATGGGCAAGTGCTCTTAGAGAGTACAATACCAAACTATATACCGTATCTCCCCTGTATCCCATGCTTGAGTTCACTTCACTATTCTAACACCACAGCCATTTACGAACCACAGCAACAACACATATTGCACTTGGTTTTAAAGGGAAACCGAATTTCAAACGCCCAAGTTGTTCAGCACCAACCGCGCTGGGGCTCGAGAAAAAAAAAAGTATCGCGTCGGTGCCGGGTTACACACTAGAATCCGTCTCCCTTCAGCGACCATCTGCGACCTGCACAAGGCAGCCCGCGTGCCCCCCAATCCTCATACGTATCCAAGTTTCCCAGAATGCGGCGACGGAGAAAGCTTCAACAGGCGCTCGACTGATTCAGCCTAGCCTAGGCGTCTCTAACACCCCAGAATCCGCCAGTTCTTAGATCTGCCCTACCGTTGCGCACTACGGGCGCAACAGTGTCGCAATCGCATCTACCATCGTCACCATCATCAGTTGCGTGTCAGATGCTGCGCTTCCAGGCTCACAGCCGTCCTATCAGCGAAAATTCATTCGACGAGTCTCTGGGAATCTCGCCACCAAAAACTGCGGAGAGCGCCGCCGATTCCGCAATCCTTGGCGTGAAAGACGCGGCGATGGGTGCAAGACACCAGGTTTGCCGCCACGATTCTCGGCACCGAAGCAGGAGCGATGAGCTGAGCATAACTGCGACGGGGGTGGGAGGCAGGGATGACAAGGCAGCAGCGGAGGAAATGGAGGTATTAGTAGCATGGGAGTTTGGGGGGCGAGTGTGGATACTAGGAGGGGGTGGGTGGAGGTGGAGTATGACCCGTAAAGTTCGGGGAAGAGAGTCGTTGCGGGTGCTTTAGGGGTGATTACTCTGGAACCATTAGGGGTAAAAAAGGGGGGGGGAGGAGGGGGATGAAAGATATGATTGGTGGGGGGATGACAATTGGGGTAAGGGGGCGGAGTGGAAAGGGGGGGCATGGCAGAGGGAGGGGGTAAGGGGACTTAGGGGAAGGGGGAGGGAAACGCAGATTGGGGGCTTGGTGAAGGGCAGGTTAGAGAAAGCGGGGATGAAGGGTAGAGGGGTTGGTAAGGCATGAGGAACGTGCCATCAATGGGCACAGGGCAGGGGAGAGGGAAGGCACCAGGGAAGACGAAAGGGAAGGGGAAAAGGTAGGTGAAGAAGAGTGAGAGCAGCATGTGAGTGAGTGAGGGCAGCATA